TTTGGACAATTTTTATTTGTTAAAATAATATTTTTGGTTTAGGAAGGATGTAACGTACGATACTTTTTTGTATACTTGGCGTAATCTTTTTCTTTTTTTAAAAAAGAGTTTTGGTAGGATAAATATTTGTATCCTCATTAAGTTAAGAATTTGCCAAAAAAGCTTGCTAACAGCCACTATGCCAGTAGATTAGCGACAGAAATCGAACAGGAGCTGCAAATCCTACTTGGTTTCTGTTGCCAATCTGTTGGCAAATATACAGGGTGTCCCCATATAAGTGGCCACCCCTTTTTATCTCGTAAACTAATAGAGATAGACCTAATAATATATGATATCAAATTAAACAGCTCTAACTATAAACTTTATTGTAAGCACAGTGATCACTTAGAAATATTATCTATGTTAGAGAGCGGAAAGACATGATTAATTTTTGCACGGTAAAGGGACAATTTTAATATGATAAAAGTTGTAGCGTTCTTTTTAACGAATGCAACGATGTATGATATAACGAAATTATTTTACGAATTATAAGAGTTATTTTGGTTTAAAATTTTGCGGGAGGCTACTACCTTTTCAATTTCGGACCTGCGATGTGATCAACTTCCGATTCTCGCACTAACAAAAGTACTATGATCAAGATAAAAACATTACATTCAATTGTCAACGCGAAAATTAGAAGTTGGCCACATCGCAGGGCCGAAATTGAAAAGGTAGTAGCTGCTCGCAAAATTTTAAACCAAAATAACTTTTAAAATTCGTAAAATAATTTTGTTATATTATACATCGTTGTATTCGTTAAAAAGAACGCTACAACTTTTATCATATTAAAATTGTCACCTTACCGTGCAAAAATTAATCATGTCTTTTCGCTCTCTAATACATGGATAATATTTTTAAGTAAACACTGTGCTTACAATAAAGTTTAGTCAGAGCCTTTTAATTTAATATTATATTTATTTGGTCTATCTCTATTAATTTACGAGATAAAAAGGGGTGGCCACTTATACGGGGACACCCTGTATATTCAAAGGATGTAAGGGTACGTTTCCAACGCGTCACGCGCGCGTTATCCGAATTGACCAATCAAAACATCCCATTTTATTGCGTAATTTGCCGCGCGATCCGGGATTTCATACAAAGAAAGATTCTTTTATTTCTAGAATGTTGAGTAACCTAATCAAAGCGTCTCGCAAGAGTTGCACGGCAAATGATGCAATAAAACAGGATATTTTTATCAATTAATCGTGACGCGACGGACGACGCGACGCGTGACGCGCTCAGTGGGAACGCACCCCAGGATCCTCTCTGCTGTCTTGTAATCGCTAGAGTCCTAGATTATCAGAGAAGCGCGACCGGTGTTACGAATCCTGATTGGACACGCAAATGGCCAATCATAAGATTGATTTATCGCTATTATAAATGGCTGCCGAATAAATCAAACTTATAATTGGCCATTCGACGCCATTTTTAATATTTTCTAGTACTTTTGCGATACTGCCATAAGCCGGTCGCGCTTCTCTGATAATCTAGGACTCTAGTAATCGCTAAATAGAAAGCACCCGTGATCTCTTATATAGTATAGTTAAGTAGATACTAGGTGGAGCTAGTGAAGATAAGTCTACTGAGTGACGACTGACGCAGAGAGAGAGAAAGAGAGAGGGAGAAAAAAGAGAGCTTGTGGTGTGTATCACCGATTTTGCAAATAGTGTCCGATATTCTCGACAATTCCGACTCATTCGGTTAACAAAAATAGTACGTAGCATCGCTGCGAGCAACTACGAAGTCATAATTGTTAAATAGAGCGAACGATAGATTCTACGGCGGCGTTAAATCGAGAGCGCTGTGACATGGGTTCCAACAAACGTCACAAAACTGAAAAATCTCGCGATGCCAAGAAGAAGCGTCATCGCAGCCGTTCTAGGAGCTACACGCCCGACCGCGAAAAGTCGGAGAAACACAGACACCATAAGAAACACAGGAGGAAAGAGCGCAAAGACTACGACAGCGACGGTAAGAGAGAATCTAGCAGTGTATTATTGAGTAAATATATATTTTGCAGATTTTTATATATAATTATACATAATTATAGAAGATAACAATTATATTTACTCACACAAGAAATTGAATTTATTTTGTATATGCACCAATAGTTATGAGTGCGGAGGCACTCATATCCTTATGATTTATTCGTTGGAGCCACTTCATGTCTATTTTTAATTTAAATTACATTTATGTATAATTATAGAATAAGATTTTTTCATTTTCAGTTGAGATTGTTAATGCTCCGCCGCCACCAAAAATATCAAAGTCGTCGCATCCATCAACGCCTCCCCCGCCTGAGATTTCTAAACAGCGCAGTCCATCCCCTGCTAAAGGTGGGGCATCGCAAGTCTCATTATCCATTGAGGACACCAACAAACTTCGTGCAAAGTTGGGATTAAAACCATTGGAAGTAGATAGTACATCCAAAGATGACCCTAGCAAAATCAAAGATGATCTGGGCGAGTTTTATCATAAACCTGCACTTAACAATAGTGACAAGATAAAGGCACAAAAACTGAGAGAAAAGATAGGTGTTCAGAAGGAAAAGAGACAAATTGAGACAAATTTGTCAAAAGTAAAGGCTTTGGGTGAATGTGATTCGGATGATGACACTCATGCATGGATCAATAAATCTAGACAACTGGAAGAAGAAAAAAAGAAAGCAGAAATGAGAGTAATATCTTAATATCCATTATCTTTATATTCATACTAATATATCTTATGTTTGATGTATTATTGAATGTTATAAATTTATAAAGTATCCCATTTTGGTATTGCAAAAGCATGTTCTTATAATTGTATGTGTAAAGTTATAAAAAAAATAATGCTTTTGCAGTATCAAAATGGAATACTTTATAAATTTGTGTATGCGCGCGCGCACGCGCGCACGCGCGCGCGCGCGTGTGTGTGTGTGTGTGTGTGTGTGTATTTTTATAAAAAATACAAAAAATTTGTACAGTGTTTATAAAAAAGTATTCATATGATAGATGCATTTATATGATGGATAGTACATACCACATTAAGTAAAAAAACCTTAGTAAATATAATAACAATTGTTTTTCAAATATGAATGATAATTTCATATTTACACATGTGACACATAGAAGCCAATGAGTCAATTATGGTATTAAAATATAAAACTTTTTATCTCAGAAACAATTGCGTTTTTAATCTATGTTCACTAAGGCTTTTTTACAGTATATCCACAAAAAAGCATTCAGCATTCATATGGTAGATAGGAAAGTGTACACATACACACGCACACACACGCACACACACACACATACACACACATACACACACACACACACACACACCACAATTTTACATATTATGATACTCTTCATTGCTTTTTTAAAAGTCCTATTTTAATTTAAGGCAAAGGTGCTGGATCAATTAGATGAAGAATTCGGAATCAGTAATTTGGTTAAAGAGGAAATACATATTGCTCGCAACACAGCGTATACAGAGAAAGACTTAAAAGGCCTTAAAGTCGAGCATAATATTGTAAGTGCCATTTTCTCATATATTATTAATTGTAATAATATATGTTATTGGGTTATCTAAAAGTTGTGCAGTTTTCACTCATGGTGACAGATTCAAATGTGGTCATGTATGGTACTTTTTGCAATTTATAATTTTTCTGCCAGTTCTGTATAACGAGGATTTTCGGCGATGTTTCCTCCAGTAGATCATCATCCACAGTGCAAGGACGCCCAGATCGCGCCTCGTCTTTGAGAGTGAAATCACCTTGTTGAAATTTCACAAACTCCCTCCGAACTGCATCATCAAAAGCAGTACCTTGTCTGTAGACTTTACAAATTTTACGCGCTATCTTGCATGCGTTCTTGCCCTTTCTTAAGTACAAAAACATAATATTACAAAAATGTTGTTTCTAATTCTCCATCTTTAGGGCACTATAGAATCGAATGTACTGAACGTATGTCATTATGGATGGACGCATTGTTTAAAGAAAAGATTGCTCTTTCTTATCAACCTAAAGTTTGGGTTTCCTCATTCAATATTAGTGCAAAATTTAAACTGATATCCGCGCATGATGGAGAAAACTGCAGAACTTTTCGGATGATCCAATATTAATTATTATTTAATCTCTTTTAAAACTTGTACATAACGTACATAAATTAAAGTTTTCCATTTTTTCTTGTAATAAGTTCTAAATAGAAAAATTTTATAGGAAACATTTGAGGAAGGCAAAACTGTAATCCTAACGTTGAAAGATCAAGAAGTATTAAATGAAAATGATGATTTACTTGTAAATGTAAATATGATCGACAATGAACGCTACAAACGTAGTGTTTTAAATAAGAATAAGAAACCTACGTATGACCCATACGCCGATGAAAATTTTGATGAATATGGATTCCCCAAAAATACGATTTTAGAAAAATATGACGAGGAAATCGACGGTGAGAAAAAAGATAATTTTGTATTGGGTGCTAATAATGCGGTGGAATTTAAACGACATCAGGTAGAGACAGTGAAACAACGTTTAGCGAATAAAAAACTAGAATCGCTACAAATGGTAGAACCAAAATTAGCAAGCGAATATTACAATGAAGAGGAACTTGCAAAATTCAAGAAACCAAAAAAGAAGGTAAAGAATTGCTTTCTAACGTGTTAATTGTACATGAAATAAATTAATGTTCTTTAGATACAATTGCTTAGTGCAGCTGTATATTTTATACATTTTCTATTCGTCTTATTTATTTTTAAAAATATGTTTTTTGCAATAATATAAAATAATATGTGTATTTAATATGATTGCAGATTCGGAAAATTAGAACAAAAAAGAAACTAAAGGCTGACGATTTAGTTCCTGTGGATAATGATTATCTCAGGGATCTTGGAAGTAGGAGAAGAAAAAAACCGGAAGATTTAAAGGATAACGATACTTTAGATGTCGATGATTTAGAAGGTAAAGATATTTACATGATTTTGTAAAAATTAGGGACAATATACAAAGTGAATTCATTTGAGCATTAAGCATTTGTAAATCTACAAGTATAATTTAATCCTGTAGCGAAACACACATCTCTCAATTATCGATTTTATATATAGTATATTCCGTAAAGGTTACGTTTCTTTTGAACATCCGTAAAGAACACCTGAGTGCGAATTCGCACCTAGCGTTTTTAAAGTTTTATATATTTTGAAAATAAAAAGTAAAATTAAAGCAAAACGTACGTTTTTCAATGTAAAATTTTTTGACCAATCGATTGGTAATATTAAATTTTCGAAAAAAGAATGTAATTATTTTCAAAACTGCGTGTTAAACAAAACCATTTTCTCAAATGTCTACAAGTTGAAAATTTTGTGGGTGCAAATTCGCACTGAGGTACTTTTTATGGGATATACATGGTTAAATAATACACATAGTTTTGTGTTCTTAAAGTTTCTGTGTATAGATCATGATTAACAATAATTTTAATAATTATAAATTATTATTTGATCGATTTATTAAAATTATTGAATAGCTCCTGAGGAAGATCTTACTGGGATAAAACTCGAAGAAGACGATAAAGAATTGGAGTTACAATTAGCTTTAAAGAAAACTCAGCGTTTGAAGGAAGGACATTCAGCTGATATCCAGAAAACTGTAGAAACAATAAAGCAAGAAATTCTTAACTCCGAGGAAAATCAATCTGGAAATATCGTTCTTAATTCTACTGCAGAATTTTGTAGAACCTTGGGTGATATACCCACTTATGGACTCGCTGGAAATAGAGAGGAAAATGGACAAGAACTCATGGTAAAACTAAATATAACGTATTACTGAATATTTATCTTGGACATTAGAATAATATGTATTTATAATATAATGTAAATGTTATAGGATTTCGAAATTGACGGAATTAAAGATGAGCCACCTGCAAACGAAGAGGAGGATGATGGTCGTGGTGCCTGGAACACAGTGCATTTAGGTATTTCACATATTGGTACAGATTAATTTTATATAACTCTATTAACATGTTAACAATTGACATATTTTCCCATAAAAAAGGAACATAATAATGCAAATTAATCATGCATTCTTACAACTTAAAAAATTACTCTTATAATTGAAATATTTCATATATTTGTAACATAAACATAACTTCTGTAAATAGATGAGAATATCACGGAACCAGTTGTAATGGAGGCAGCAATTCTAGACGCCGAGCCATCGCTCGGTCAAGGGGTAGGTGGAGCTTTAAAGTTGGCTATGAGTAAGGGTTACTTGCAGAAAGAGGACAGCAATCGCCCTTCAGCGTCACGATTCGCACATCTGCAAGCTCAGAATTATTCGATAGAGGACAAAACGTACGGGTAAGTGAACTAATATACTACTGCGATTCGATGTACGATGATCTCTTACATGTTTCAAATATGTGTCGCGCGAAGGAAACACGTAAGAATGGCTCTTACATCGAATACGCTTTGCCACAAGCATTGTGTTAGACAAGTCTCTAGTGAATTTCAAACTGTCAGTTAACAGTTTAAAATAGAGCCCGGAAATCGGTGCTCGGAACGGGTGATCCGCTACCACTACGAGAGTTTACCGCTTAATCGGAGGGGAACACAAGGCCCGAGAAGAGAGTAGGATTTGTTAAGGTATGTTTATGTTCTGCGATTCCGTTGCTGCGAATCTTGCTAAGGTTCTCGAATTTCCATACATGGAAGGAGTCGAGTGCCAGATATTAGCAGAACAAGTCAACGTCAAGATAAATGTTCAGAAAAGATTGACAAAGACTCACTTGTTTGTATATCTGACTACAATCGTTTTTCTATAAAAGTGCTTGCATGTGTTTAATACAAATCAGTATGGACCAATTTAACGCCATACAATCTATGCTCGTCTACCAAATACTGAAATGTCTTAACATTTTCGAGTTTCGAGCACTTAAATTTGAGAATATAAGAATGGTGAAAACAGGAAAAAATCCATACATACATATATCTTTAAATGCATGAATTTTAATATTTGTTTTCATATCAGTGTATAACGTAGAATATAATTTATACTGAAAAAAGTATTAAACGATAGTTAACATAAAAATTAAATGACTTAAGTAATATATTTTAAAAATTATTTTAATTTGATCGTATAATATAATGTATCTTGAATATTACGAGCATTATTCTTCATAAAGATATATTTATACTGGTAGTGGACACAAGTTTCAGAACATCGCATTTCAAGGGCTTTAATTTTTATTCTACAATATTGAAATCTAGTTACATATATAAGATAATAATAAATAGCATAGCTGCGTTTACTTAGTTGATATCTTTGAGAAAAGCTGACTCTCTTGTATTTTATAGACAGAGAGCTCATAATTTGAGATATGTCTATTTCATTTGCTTGTTCATATATTATTTTTGTTTCAGGGATGATGACAAGTTCGGCAGAAGAGATCGCTTTAATGGACCGACATCTGATTTTAAGGAAAAGGAAGGGTTTAAACCAAATGTTAAACTCGAATATATTGATGACGATGGGCACGTCTTGTGCGCTAAGGAAGCTTTTCGATACCTGTCGCATAAATTTCATGGGAAAGGTCCAGGAAAAAATAAGGTTTATATTACATTATACTGATTAGAGTTATTGTATATGTACAAATTTATTTATCAGAGCTTGCAATATTATTTTAATCGAAATCAATATTCGAAGTTGTAATAATCCTCTAATATTTTAGGTTGAGAAAAGAATGAAAAAAGCCGAACAAGAAGTTTTAATGAAACGAATGTCTTCAACAGACACACCTTTAGGTACATTAAATTTATTGCAAGCGAAACAAAAGGAAACACAATCACCGTATATAGTGCTCAGCGGCAGTAAACAAATGCAAACGTAAGAATTATACTCAATTTATTTAAAAATTCAGAATTTTTTAATGCATCATTTTAAATATATGTTCTGTGTGTGCGTGTACACACTAGTTTATAATTCTTTTTTTATTGCGGTTTTTTTATTTATATGAATGAAAATTCTAATGCAATATTTTTTTGCAGAACCAGCATAGCTAAAACAAAACATTAAGGAATAATAAATGCATACAAGGATGAAAATTGTATATAATCTTACATGTGTATAATGTAGCATCTGGAAATAAAAGCTGGACTCACAATTTGATGTAAAGATTATAAACTAGAAATAAAAAGAAAATTACGTTTTTTTTTCACCTAATGAATTATGAGCATACAATAAATACTCAGTTATTTATGACTCAAAATTAATCAGTTTTGCACCTGTAGCTGTATTCGACTGTAATGTATCATTGAAAAAATAACAGTTGAGAAACTACTAATTTTATAGATATTACTTTATACAATAAAGCATACTTGGCAAGTAGATGAATATATTTTTTTATTAAATCACATGTTCTATAATATATAGCTTATATTATTAATTATTCTCGTCATATTTTACACATAAGTATGTAAAATAAATATAGAAACGAAAAAATATTAATTTAACAAAGAAATTAAATGATAAAAGAAAAAAAGATAATAAAATTATTTCCTTATTTAAAAATATGCATCATAGAATTTTTATTTTTTAAAATAAAAATACTTATTAAACTTAATTATTAACTTAGTTTTATCTATTATCACAATAAGGTTAGTAAGTCAACAAAACCACTGAAAATCTATTAAATATTTCTTATAATACTATACGTAATACAAAATATAATGTACACTACTATATCTACGATAACAAATAATTACATACAGAATATTTTTATTTCTGTCACAAGCTATGATTTATACTTGCATTATTTCGTTACAAATAATATGTTGCTACAGTTACACATAATCACTAGCTGATAAAATATTACAGTGACTTCAATACTATAAAATATAATTTTATCATCTTTACGCATATCTTTATTTCACATTAATATCTGTTAAAATGTCAATTTCAGATATTTTTTTTATAGAGAATTAATAATTTACTATTCTCTAATTTACACGGTTTGATATGAATATTAAATATCAGTAATACTACTGTCGCATACTATGTCAACAATGGTAAAACTTTAAAGAACTATAAAGAACAGAGTATATGTATATGTTAACTATCCCTGATATCACACAAGGCTTGTTTTGTGCAAAAATAGTAATACTTAATTCTTTGAAACTTACACAGTGCATAGTCTATACATTAATGATTTTTATCAATATATCTTCAACGTTATAATCGCATCTACACATGCATATACTATATGTATGCAGTATATGAATCTGTGTGTCTATATATACATACGTATTTATCTCTAAGTAACTAAAATCGTTATTATTTTTTTACTATAAAATATATTTTAATAGAGAAAGTTTGGCACTTCCTTTGGCAATCTGAAATTGGTTGCATATGTGAGTTTTAGTACCTTATTTGGATATCTATTTTATTTTTTTGAATGCTTTATATGGTTTTAAATATTTATTTAGAAACAATGGATTTTTAATCGACTATACACCTTGATGCGAAATTTTCAAATGTTCAATATTCAATGGAACATTTTTCACTTTCACAACTTGTAATGTGTGTTGCCAAACACATCAGATCTGAGTAAGAATAAAAAAAATTATTTTTCCCTCCCTCCGCGATCATTATATAAATTAGTCAGTTTTGAAACATGCCTGTTCAAAAACGCGGAAATAAATAAACTTTTAAGCTACTCATCACCAGTATCGTTTCAAATATATATTTTTTATGAAAATTCTCTTCGATAAGATGCTGTTTGAAGACGCATTGGAAAATAATTGTTATCTATTTAAAGGGTCGGAAATTTGGTCAGGTTTCTGTTTGTTACTACCATCTTCCTGACAACTCTGACTAGATTTCACAGGTTTGATAGACTTTAATTTCGTAGTTCCGCTAAACCGAAAATTCACATCGCTACAAGTGTCGAGTGGATGTATGGTTCCTGTCAAATTTGTTAACGAATCGTTACTCGTAATTTCGAGCTTGCTAGTCGGAACCTTTTTTACAGAGCCTAATTCGTATGCTGACTTGGACGATTTCAACTTCAGTTTCAGTGGTAACGATATCGATTTTTCCAAATTAGTAGTCGGAACTTTTAAATTGTTCTCGTCCTGCGGGATCGGATTGTTCGCTAGATTCATTGTGTCCGTAATTTGAATGTCGATGTTCACCGATTTAGGATCGTTCTCATCGTTATTGCCTCTTATTTGTTCGGAATATTCGTTTCTAAGAGCTGCTAACTGCGCGCGTTGCTTCTGTATGTGATTGTGCGAGTTCGAGAAGAATGAAGAGACTTTCTCTAATTTCGTTGCCAAGTTGGGTTGACTCAAGGTTGACTTCAAAGGGTACGGCGTGTCCATGCTGTTGTTCCTCAATAGATTTTGAGACTCTCTTCCAGTCGAATTACTTTTTATTATTCCGTACTTGTTGTCCTCGATGACTTTTAAAGGGTATGACTTAGTGCCAGCATTTCGTCGTTTCTCGACCATATTCAATTGTGCGATTATCCTGCGAACTTCGCCCGGAACTTCGATATCGGCTCGTGTATCCGCTAATTGCTGAATAAATGCACCTAATGTGGCCACCGTTACTTCAAGGCTGCGATTCTGAGACTCAAACTTGTGAATAGTCGCTTGTTGCATCGAACGCGCTGTCTCGAGCCTATGTAAGTTGCTCATAGTAATCTGTAATATAATTCCAGTATTATTAGCGATAATAGTAGAGAAGGGAAAAAAGCAACATCATATAGAAATAAATTCATTGTAAAATATAACTTAAAAATTTATGAAATTGTATTTAAAATTTTATAAGATTTGATTTATAATTTCTCCTATATATTTAACAGTGCGATTATTCTACTTTGCTTGACTTTAATATTGAAATGTATACCTATTAATTGCTAAAGAGATATGCTCAATGTGGTTATCGTTACTTCAAAATTGATTTTGAAAATTCATGTATCGAATCCTTCAATTATATTTGAAATAAATATTTTTCGAATTACCTCAAGTTGATCGCTAAGCTGTGCAACTTCTCGCGTGAGTTGTTTATTTCTTACTTTAAACTTCTCCAAATTCTCTATTTGTGGTTTTACCGATATCATTTCCTCTTGGAGCACTTGATATTCCACTCTGTATTCATTTAATTGTTTTGTGATCTCTAAATCGGGATAAAATACACGTTTCATTATGCGATCTAAGCTTTGTTTGTCTATCGCCGGCACACGTATCTAAAATCATAAGAATAGAAACATAATAACAATAATAATAATAATAATATTTACACAAATTCACTCTTTCATTTTTTTATTTCTTATAATTATGATAAAGTCTTGGAACAACTTTGATAAAGGATTACAACTTTACCTTAAGATATTCCATAATTTCTTCAAAGCTATCGCAACATAGCAATTGATCTTGATGTTCTTCTAATAATGCAACTGATACACGGAAAAGAACTTCGGAGCTTTCCAGAAAAAGCAAATCTGTAGAAGTAAAATCAGTTATATCATAAATAATTTTATAAACCGCATATACATATATAAATATTATTGTTATCAAATGTGAGAATATACATCTTACCAAAAACTCGGGTTACAAAACCTAAGGGGAATTGGCTAGAAAACAGCGTCAATAACCATGGAGCAGCATATAAAGTAGGTGAAACTTCGTGTTTGTCAAAATGATTGTAAATAGTTGGCAAGCGATCGTGTAACAGCCTAGAGAGTTGATATAAGTGTAATTGCAATGCCGCCATGTCTGGCAAGTACAATTTTCTAAGTCCTCGACGGAACATTAGATGCCGCAATAAGAAAAAGGCTTGATCCTCTGCCATCTAATAAAAAAAATTAAGAAATATTTCATATAAAAGCTGATTATTATAAAAGAGAATACGAAATTTTAAAATTATTGGATAGAATAATGTAAAACTGCACTCACATGCAATAAAAGCACTCCAGCGACAAAACTGAGGCCTTGACAGTAACCGACTTCGTGATCTAGCAAGGAGTAGGCTTTCAATAAATTGAAGAGTGCTAATTGGCCAGGTCCCAAGGGCGAACTAAAATACGGATGGCTTGGGAAAGTTCTTCCCAAATCGATAAGGATAGCATGCTGTTGAGATGTGAGTTGCTTCAGGAGAAGTTCATACGGTGTGTTATAATTTGGAAACTCTTGAGTGTCTATAGGCGGTTGCTTCAAGCAAAATTGCTCGGCTAGAAACTGCCAAACCTCACCTCTTTTTCCTTTTGGTACACCTATTATTTAGAAGAATTTATATATAATGAGAGATTTAAAAAGAAATTGTCAAAATGTGGAAATAGTGCTTGACTGAGGTTTTTTATTTTTCATTTTTCATTACCTTGCTTAATAGCGTGTAAAAGCATTTGATTATCACATTTAGTAGAGACTCGCGATTCCTTGCTAACAAGGAGGTCCCAAACTTCTATTACTTCACGCGCGCAGCTACTAAGTTCGTCATATTCAAGTTTGATCCTCTTTACCGTTGCTTCCTCTTGACGTTCTGTATTTATTAGAAAATTTTAATAATATGAATATCATTATTGCATAGCATAAGGATTACATATATTTTCAGATATGGGCATTTTTTTACCTCTAAGCTTTGCATTCTCTTTTTCCATTCTTATAAGTATTAGCTGTTGATTAATCGCTTTCTTCCACAAATCTCGCAATTCTTGTTTCGATCTACGTTTAACGGACATTTCCGAATTTTTGAGAATATTAATTTTTTCAATTTCTGTAGCGTTATGATCTTTATTCGGTGTCACAACTCTGTTTAGTATCGTTTGCCGCCACGAACTATTGGCTTGTATCGTGCTATTCCCGTCGGTCTCCGTCGGAGACGTTTTCGGTGAGTTACCAACTTTCAAAAAGCTGTGTGAGAAATATAACAAATATGTAAAAAAAAATCACATATATGTAATATTCTTCTGTATTGCTAACAGCTTTCCCGTAAATAGAACATGTTCCGTAAAAGAGACAGAAGATTGATTACTTTGATCATTGTGTCCGCATGCACGGGCTTTTCTATTGGAATTACATGCATGAGTGTTATCAAGAGTTAGAAAGATTAAACCATATATCGGAATCCGCACCGTGGTTTCGGAATCGCTGTTTTCGCTCTGCTAGCAATATAGAAGTGTTACAAAGTATAATAAAAAAAAAAAACACAAATAATATAACAAAAAACAACTGAAAATACAATAAAATTGTACTAACATGTCCATCATGGAACTCTTTGGTCCGTTATTTACAATTTGCTGTTCAGGCGAGACACGCAATGATCGCGGTCTACTAGATTCCGGTGAAATGTCCAATATAGATGATTGTCGCGAATTATCTGGACTCTGACTACCATTCTTCTGTAGTCCCGCATTCAGATGATTTGTATCTCTTAGCTGTGGACCCAGGCCAAAATCGTCACGCGAACCTCTCCTCTTCATAAGATTATCAAAACTGTTCGTAAGAGAGCGTTTTGCTTTCATAAATATCGTGCTACCAACGCCAACGTTTAGATATTGATTGAGAAATTCACTTCTGCAATTTAAAACATTGTGTCAGAATTCATTTCATTCGGAAACTATATTTTGAGACTAACAGAAAAAAAATTTGTTTTTATACACATATATCCAGTTTATACTGCGTTACCTATTTTCAGCCGTGTCATGTACATGTCTAGCTTGTTTCGACTCGCAATGAGCACGCAATAGTCGCATTAGGAATTGATTTTGCTCTCGTAGACTTGAGAAGCTTGCGCCAATGTTACCCGCAGCCTCAGCGCCCTTATATTTGTTCACAACGATCTCTTGCTCCTCCTCCGGTAATAATTCCATACGGGAAAAGATAATACTTTGAACTCTTCTATCATTTTGTCCTAAAACTATTGTAAAAATATTGTATGTAAAATTCAATGTAAAATTACATATCATTTTTAGGATAATTTTTAAATATTTTACCTTCAATTTCTTGGCATAATTTATTATACCAGTACATAGGACAATGCTCGCAAGAAAATACAGGATATCTTTCCTTCCTTACGGCATCACAAGTCGTAAGAAAAGCTTGGCTAATCGCTGTGAAAAAAAAAATAAATTATTATAACGAATTATAATTCTCTAATAAGAGTAATAGCACATAAATCATAGATTACTGCGTCATAGATAAATTCAAAAATCTTACCTGCAACAAGATCATCGGCGACTGATCCGGATTGGCATTTGAAGACATACCCGATGAAATATTCCGATTCTTTACAAATAAATCCAAAGTGGTCAGAATTTTTTATGCCTTGCGCGCAACTAGCTACATCCTTCAATTGTTTGTGCAAAAGAATCTGTTTTCTATCAGGGCTAATCAATCTCAGATCAAATCGTCCTACCTAAAAAATATAAAATTTGTAAAAAATAAGTAAAGTTGAATGGTGTTCTTTCTCTTTTTTTTATTATTATTACTTAAATTGGTTTTGTTACATTTCTCGTTATAAATTTTAAAATATTTTTCATTTATGCTCAATTATTAATGCAGCAGATTTTGTATCAATAATGATTATAGAAAAATTAATATCAATTCAAACAAAATGTAATAAAAATAAAAAGATAAAAAATTCTTTTAGATTCCATACCTGAAAAACCATAGTGCGATTGTGATCATCGGTTCCTTTAATAGCGGAATCTCTTCTGCCGCTTAAAACACTACCGGTAGATGCTGCACGATTTCGCATGATTTCAGGTACAGTGATATTAGAATTAGCGGAAGATTCAGATGTCCGATTTTCATCACGACCATCGTTTTCGGGATTGACGGTTGTTCTTGGAAAAGTCTCCACGGATCCGCTTAAAACTGGCGGTATTCCAAGCGGATTCACGCTTGGAATTATACTGTTTCCCGACACGTTTTCAATACTGCCTGATTCACTGGCGGTAGATTCCTGAAAATGTAACGGTAAATTTCTTCGTCAAGTGCAAATTCAATCATTTGTTTGTTTGTAGTAACTATATGATTATAAAGACATGTATTATAAAAAATATTTTTCATGATTATCATGATATTGACCATTATGAAAAGAGAAACTGTAATGCTAAAATCAAAATTTTTGTTATAAAAATAAATTCTTGTGCAAAAAAATTCCCTAAGAATTCCCGGATTTTGTATTTTTATTCAAAATTTCAGGTACAATAAAAAAATATTTTAATGCAACTTTAAAATAAATTGGAGTGAAAACACTAATTTATATTAGTAGAAAGTGGAAATTCCACGAGACTATTTCTTACAATTTAAGATAATGTAGAAGAAGCTCATTACAATATAATATCAGCGAGCTATTCTACGACAAAATTAAATTTAAAAGTAAAATTCTCTAAAAATTTCTCTAAAAAATAACATTTCAGAAAAATCCCTGATTTTTAAAGATAAAAAAAAATCTTCTGAAAATTGCAGATTTTTCAAATGTTTCCAGGTAATAAATACTCTGTTATAATACATATAACTCCTAATTCAACGTACCACAAATGTTTAAAACAGGATTATTTAATAGTTGTGTGAAAACTTAGTTTTAAAATAATTTAAAATAATTTAAAGCATTAAAATTAAAAGTACGTTCTTTTATTATATTGATATTAGAAAGTATTTTATTTATTTATTTTTACATCTTTCTTAATTTGCTCGTTTCTTGGTCTTTATATAAAACCTTTTTTCCTTATTTATTTTACAAATCACAAGCTTGACTTTTTATTAGCTAAATTCTTAATTCTTAATTCTTACCGTACTATTTCTCCTATTAATGGAAGACATCAAAGCTTGACGTTTTAGCCGTTGACAATCTGACAGAAGATTACTCGTTGATGATCTCGTTTTTTCGAGTCCATGAACGCGAAACTTTATCAACGCGTCGTCAATGAAAGATTCCGGTACTTTCGGATTTGATATTTTAATTTTGCCAATATAGAATACCTGAAATCCAAATGTAAGAAAAAATGTCAAAGCACCATGTTAATTCTTATTTTTAGGTGATTAAAACATAAGTAAAAATCAATAATAACAAAGTCTTCTTCTTAATTCAGCTTCAGGCACGCTTCCGGAATGTCATTTTATATATATATATATATTGAAAGTTTCATGCAAGATAATAGACTCTTTTTAGAATTTAGATAATTACATCATTATAAGAAAGATCATTAAAAAAAAAGATAATTACTTCGAAGAATTGGGAAGAGCTCGGAGATATATCGGCACCTATAGACGTCAAGCTAGCCGCGCTGCTCTGCGACCGCTGTGGCAAGTCCTTATCTCTCTCCATTCGTTGGGTTGCCGAATGTTCCTTCATGTCTTTCAAGGGCCCTTTATAAATCTGCAAATGAAACAATCGCAGCGTTACATAACTAATTATATCAATGTGACACGTTTGCCTAAAAAGTTGCGTCTATTTAAAAAGGAGAAGGAGAGGTGTAATTTACTCTTATCAGAACATATATTGTTGCAAGAAAAAAATATTTAGGAAAAAAAAATAAAAAACTGATTTTGTTACGAGTGAGATTATTAATATAATAATATAATAGAAATGTAATACGTTTCCTTTTTAAATAATACGTATAATATTAAAGATTTACACATTAATTGCTCCGCTAAGCTTATAATTAAAAATTCTTTTAAGTTCATTCATTTTTTTTTCGTTACTTCATTTACACAAGAATGACTAAACAAGTGATAAAATATTCATTATCGCTTTAGTAACTTTTATTGTTACATTATAATTTTTATTATCTTCCGCTATGATGTAAATGTAAATTCGTAAAAATTAATTATCTGTAATGCAATTTTCTCCCGCGAGAAGAATAATCCAATTTAAAAATATAATCCAAGCAACAAAACGTTACGCGACGGAACCATTGATATACTAAACGGATTTCGCAAGGAAACGTGCATGAAACGTGGCCGATGGCCGTGGACAAAAATAACTTATTTCAGCAGCACTCGTGGACTGCATGGCTCTCATTCTTCGTCTTTGTTTCGAAAGAGTTCTCTCTCCTTCTAATTTCTTCCCACGTTCCACATCTGGTGCTCATCGTCTTTGTGACTTCGGACTTTGTCCGAAAAGACGGTTTAATTTAACTCTAGAACGCATAATAATAAAGATTCGGTGCGCGGATCAAAAGGAAAATACAATAAATTACAACAAAAGAGAAAAGAAGAGAAAAAGAGAGAAAGGTAATAAAAATAAAAGTTAATTGAGATTTTGAGATATCTAATTTAAATACCTCAAAGAAAGAAAGAAAAACAACTTATGATTAATCTGGAGATTATTCGGAGAAGAAAAATTAATTAGAAGTATAAGCAATGAAGAAAATTAATGTCGTAGAATTTCAAAAATCCCCTTTATATGTGTTCAATACACAGCTAAATGTATTTTCTTTCTTTATCATTTCGTAACAATTTTTATGATTTTTTAACTTATTTCAGAAATCTTGAATAAACGTTTCTTTTCCTCGTCATCTTATCAATTTCGCAGAGTCTGTTTGACTTTTTTCGCACTGGATGTTATTATTCACGACGTGGGATTGAGAGCGACATAATTTTCCTAATGAGTTCTTTACGGTCGCGCGGATGAAAATTGCAGAAGACAGGACAATAGCGAGGATATATTATACATATACTCGTACTTATTATGACAGTAATGAAAGCACTTGGCTGTTTATAATAATAATCGCAATCTCTGAGATACGTGGAGTGTCCGCATAATAATGATCCTTTTGCGAATATAATTATTCCAAAAGGTATCTTATGACTGTCGCGAGTATTTGACCAGATACTGAGAAAGCTCGCCTCTTTAGTGACACAGAAAGAAGATAGGTACTTAGTTAATAGAGGGGCTTCCCCATGTGTAATTCAATTAAGGCACGTACTTTGTTGCGTCCCCTCCTATGCTTTCACAAAGTTATGCAGCATTATTGGCATATCGATAGAGCCGTATATCATGGCCCTTCGTATAGAACTTATTAATCAACTTCTCATTATATTCGGCGTTACACATATATCATTAGGAATTTTCCGGTTAATATAAGGGTGTTTCCTCTAACTCGATTATTTATAGAATGTCTCTGTTGTTTTTAATGATACGAAAAATACCAAAGGGAAGAATTGTTTATTTTAAAGGGCAAATATTATAAGCAAAAAATTTTTCTCAGTCATATTTTTTTAAGAATTCAAGGTCATCGCCATTTTTTTTATGGGATGACATATTTTCATCAATGTAGTAATGTAGATAGTTCATAAAAAAATCTTAAATATAAAAAAATCATATTTATTTGAGAAAAAAGCTGAATCAACTAAACGCGTTTTCAATATAATATTTGTTTATTTAGTTATAGAACATTCAATTGTTATCGTTAACTTCTATCCATTTTCAAATATGACAAATAATTGTCTTGCACTTTCAATAAGTTTCAGGATGATAACGGTACATGCACACCGAATTCTTTCTTGTTTTCTGTTGAGGGAATATCACAATAAACTTGATTTTTTAAATATCCCCGTAGGAAAAATTCAATCACCGATACTGCCTGTTTCACAAAATAACTTAAACAGTCTATCAAAGTGCAGTTCTGGATGGACAGCGACAGTCAGAATGTTTTTCGCATACAGTTGTGTACAGTTCGCACAGAGTTTCAACCTGATTTCTCATAGATTAAAATCATTTCCGTTTTCTCTTCTTGAATTTACATCTTCTTGATATACAAATACGGATGATGGTAAGACAATTATTTTAATATGGTGTCAAGAGCGCACTAAATGATTTTAATTTGTCGGTGACGCAAGTTCCTAGTTGAAAGTATGTTTACAAACATTTACAGCTATTTATTGAATTTCTTCACGGCATGCATAGTAACTTATTAAGAATGCGATGCAATCATTTATTTGTTGCATTAAAAAATGTAACGGTAATCATTTTGAACATCTTTTAAAATAAAATAAATAAATATTATATTAAAAACGCATTTAGTTGATTTAGTTTTTTCCATATAAATATAATGTTTTTTATGTTTTTTATATTAAAGTCATGTCAAGGTCAACATACCTTATATGGTTAAATTTATTTTTTATAAACTACATTACTACGTTACTACGTGAAAATATACCATCCTATTTTTTAAAAATGGCGATGACTCTTTGAAATCTTAAAATATATGACCTTGAGAAAAATTTTTTGTTTATCATAATATTTACCCCTTCAAAACAAACAATTCTTCCCCTTGGTATATTTTCGTACCTTTAAAAACAACAGACATTTTAAATGATCGAATTAGAGGAAATATCATCCTGTAGATAACATGAAATAATTAATCCATTTTATTTTTGCTTTTCCTCGAGGCAAGAAAAACGCAAAAATAAAAATAGATGACAAAAATATAATTATAGTTTTACGATATAATTTATAGGCATTTTATCAATGTTAGGATGTTATATTAAGTATTGTAGGTATCGCGTATTATTAATTCGAGTAACGGTTTGCAACCTAAAACACATACATTTCATAAAACTAGAATTATAATTTTTATTTTAGATAAAGGGGCATTCAGTTCCCTAATTTAAAAGCCGCGCACATTTTTCTCAATAAGAGCAATTCGTCGAGCGATGAAAATAGACAGTCAAACTATTCTATCAATATTATTTTCTTCTGGCACTTGGCACTTTGCGTGCATAGAGATTCATACACTCGACTTTGTCTCTCGATCCCAATTGACCAAATTAATTTTGTTGACGTACGTCATCCGATGCACGAATCAATGCCATGAGCGTGGCGATTAGATTCACATGCGAAAGCAAATTTAATGCGTGCGTGAAGTCGAGTTTCGTTTCAATTGAGACGATCACGAGCCATTTGTTTACGGATATATTTCTGCTCAAGGACGAGCGTGTTGCGCAAAATTGTGAGGAGAAAAATTTGTTTTTTCTTTATCATTCACATGATGCGACTCTCGCATCACTCTCGCTCAAATATTAAAAGAGTTGACAACGAAAAAGATCTATTTCAACATCCAAAATTTCAATATATACGTAATAATAATATGCTTTAATTCTGTTTATTTGTTTCTCTCTAAAATTATCAAACATGTTTTTAATTCGTTGCTATATGATTGTATTAACTCGGCACGGTAATAAAAGATAAAGAACAAACTAGATATAATAAACATAAATATAACATTATTTTCAACTGTTTTGCATCTGCCATTAATATATATATTAATAAATAATAATAAACTAACAAAATAATTTTTACAATTTTATTGATATAATTCAGATCTACAACAATTAGAACAAGAACAAAATTAAAATATTAAAAAAATTTTATTTTATTACAATTCAAGCTCTCTTAAATTAGCTGGTAACTATTCTACATATTTTCATTTTAGTATAATGCCAGTTTAAATATTTATGTGTATGAATTAATTTAATAATGATTACGGTAATGCTCTCGATAATATTTATGTCGATAATATTTATGTTAAACATATACACAAATTTTAACGTTAATGTTAATGACGTTGTAGTAGTAATTAAAAGGCATTTTTTAATTTTTGTTAAAATAATTAATATAATATCTTTACAGATAACAAAAAGAATATTAGGCTTATTCGCATTTTACAATACATATATGAAAAGGTTATGCATAAAAAAATAGCTAGAAAGGATGCAATAAATTAGACGTTATTAAACCAATATAAAGAAGGTAATTTAGAACAGTATGTGTATTTCATTTCAACTGTGTCATATACTTGTTGTAGACATCATTAACATGCATGTTCAGTCAAGTAAAAACAATTATATGTATAAATTGTTAAGGTCGAATCGATCTCTTTTTGCTAGATTTTGATTTAACATAAATTTCCGAGTAGGTATATTACGCAAGCGTCATTCCACAAAATTGCACTGCACAGAACAGTGCAGAAAAAAAGTATCTGCTGGAGCATGTAATTACGCTGTACATACGTCTTAAAAGCGTCACGCTATTCATATTTTGTCGTCACAGATGGCTACTCTAGTCAGTATACCGTACCGCGCGAGCAATGCTTTGCATCTGAAGAGTTACCGTACATTGACGGTCATTATGTATGTACATTACAGAAGGGTCGAAATGTGCGCGAGAAGCTAATTTATTCCTCGTGCGAATCCTTCTTCGACATATGTCGGGGGAGACAGACGCAAGAAAGAATCATTATTGTCATTCTTTCTCCCACGAACGACCTCGGAGCCTGTGTAATACCTCATTAGCAGTTGTACTAAAAGCACGATGATTATGTAAAACGCACATATGAGAAGAATAACAACGTATCAATAACTAATAATTAGCGATAATGGGATAACTGTGTCACTTTTGATCGACATTCATCAAATTAATTATTAAAATAGAGGATTGCCGAAAATAGAATTTTATGTTGCGTTGGTAAGCAGCAATTAGTGATTAATTATCGAGAGCATACAATTTGTCACCTTGATCAAAAAGCCTTGATATTAATTTTTTGCGCTCCATAACAAATTTAATATTTTGCTTCAGCTTCAAATGAAAATTAGAAGGCTTCTGCGATAAAAATTTTAGACTTTTTAGACTTTTTTTTATAGAAAATAAAGTGAATAGTTTTTGGATATTTTAACATCATTAATATATTTTAAAATAATTTATTAAATTTTGTTTTAAATTTAAATAATGTATAATATCATTTGAAATATTTGACAGGATAAAATCCAGTTTTTCTTTCACAAAAAGGGAAACAGTTTCTTTTCACATTAAACTTTGACGTTAAAAATTTAAATTTGTTAAATATTCTTTTAAATATTGATGCAGTAACAAGATAAAGAAAACCGCACAAAGAGAAATATTGATATAATATACAAATACTGAATCATATAATAAGCAAAGAAATTATTTTCATTAAAAAAAGTAGAAAAGTATAGGAATTTTGCATTTGGTTCAATATTATAACAAAATATTATGTCCAGCTCGACGTTGGAAATCTTAGGGTCGCTGGAATCTTAGAGTTAATGTCGAAGCTTCGTACATTTAACTGTTTCTTGCAAAATAATTAATAATGATACAAAATGTCAAATGGTATTCGAGATGACTAGGTATACTTGTATTGACTGAGTATTGGCAGTTATTATTTAATTATATGCAGACTATTTGTCCTAATTCGTTCACAAATGGATGAATTTTTACCTGCAAGTTGATAAAGTTTATTCAAGCGCTATACGATATACGATACGATAACAGTAAACTATTCATTATCCCGATAAAATTGGCTTCCGAAGTCCATTTGAATATTGCTCCTCGACAAGAATTAGTGCTTATTAATATTAACTTATTGATTTATGCAGAATTTAAAAAAATTTCAGATCCAGGCATGTCAAGTCCAATTATATAATTATTGTATAAAATAATATAATTATATGGATAAATTATACTGCTTTTAGATCTAAAATTTTACAGATAAATAGTTATATATATGTGTTTTCTTAATACTGACAGTTTATAAGTTATACACGATTTAGCATATAAATTAATTTCTTCGTTTTATGTATCGACGTATTATTATATAAGTAGATACATAATAGTTTATTGAGGTGCAAAACGGTGCGAAATAAATATGCGCCAAGAAAAAAAATATCTACTAGTATTTGCCAGTATTTCTCTCGATGCATAGATATAAATATTCGAATTTCTTAGAAATTTTCCGTATAACGTACATAGTACGATATATCGTTGTACGTGACCGACAGTGCAGTGGCAGAGGAGTACGCGATCTCGAAAAAAACTTGCCGGCTACCGTCGTCATCTGCATACACAGTAAACACGAGGTTGACAAAACGAGAAAAAAAAGGTATTAGCTTATAGTGCAGTGTTTCTCAACGTTTTTTCAGTTCATAACCTTCTTTCGGCCTTCTTACATTCTATCTTTACCTAACTGATTGACCTTCGTCTCATCTTTCCCTGCATTTTTATCTTCCTTTACGGATGCAAACAAAAACTAATATCAATTATGGCTGGTGGAAAATTGAATGATCTACTTAGAAATTTTGTGTGTCCCATTTAGAGCTTCTGACTACCACGAACATTTAGAGTAATGACATCAGAAGCGAAAAAACATATAGTTCTTGCAAAAGATATTAAAATAGAGATATTCTATAGAGAGATAGAGAGATCGAAATAGAGAGTTTTTCAATAAAACATACAACATTTGCATTTGATAGAGTGCACTTGTAAAATATACCAAAAACTTCTCTTGTTCAAATCAATAAATAACCATGTATTTGAAAATGAATTATTTGCCCAACCAATGCCAAAACAAAACCTATACAACAGCTGTCAAAGTGAGATAAATATAATTTTATTCTATTCCGAGATAAAAGAAGAGTTAGGTATATATCTTTAATATTTCTTCTATTTTATGATTGAAGTGTTGTTTTATCAAAAAAATATTTACATTTTCATGCAGTATGCAAGAATTTTTTAAATGTATTTTTCTTACTTTTGAGCACCAGAATTCTAAGTGACTGCAGCGAGGAGTAATCAGGAATTTTAATGTTACATTTTTTATGTATTGATAGAAATGCACTTCTGGAAGGTTATATGGTCCATGGTTGAGACCTGTTCTTGATAAATTAATACTTCAATCAATCAATTATCGGATCATTTTACCGTCAGATCGTCGTTTGCAGTTATTATGGCGTTCCCAAGTGGCATGCGATCGCCACTTAAATTCTCATCACGAATGCGATTACGTGGACGGCGCAGCCTCAGTTGCTCACAATAATTGATGCATGCAAAGTTAATGCGAGTTCTTAGACTAGGTAAATAATAATCATAAAATGTGTATCGGATATTATTGTGAATATCTGCTCGTGTTACACACATAAGTATAGGTATCGATTTAACATCGTAATGACACGATAAGAGATTTATATTACAATTAAGCTTCAAATAAGTCACGCTACAGAGGATTTTGCAGAATTCATATACAAGTACGTTCCATATGCGACGCGCTTGCGTACGCAAATTGGTTGCCAATTTTCGTATTTTCGTGATTACGTGTCTACGTAAAATTATCTCATCTTCAGTGTTACTGGAACTTTGGCCCGAGTTAGTGAGACTTCGACCCAGACTTTGGCCAGACCTTCCGGGAATTCCGTCTATGAATAAAATGAAAGTTGGGATGGGAACTTCAAAATTTTTTCGATGCGCATTTCTCTCACTGAACCTCGCAATGAACGAGTATGTAAATACATCGAGAAATCAGCGATTCAGATATAGAAATGTTGAAGTCGGTAGAAATCATGTTTCTTACGAAGGAATCGGAATACGGTCAGTCAACGGTTGCTGGCAGGCTGACTTGGGATTTCGCGTCGCTTGTCCGGCAAAGTAAATTTAGATCGCTGTACGCTCGGTTTCGCGAAAATACGCCTTTCCGCTAGCGGAAGGAAGGAAAAAGCGATGGAGCGTAGTGATTTAAAAATGAGAAAATGTAATCGAGAGTATTTTTTTTTTAATGGGATCGTAAGAATCTTAAATTTTGTCAGATATTATTAAAGTAAATCTTGATTTTGCGAATCTTTATATATTTATCTTTATTCATTATTTTCGCAATCTTTTGATTTTCATTAGTTATGTAGTAGGATGAGCGTATAAAATAGCAGATAGCTAAAGAAAGTTGTAAAGAAAAGGGGGTTTTGATAATGAAATGAGAGTTTGCGGTTCACTTGAAAATAGTGATTATACCGATTTTTGACAAGGATAGAGCAATGAAGCGTGCAATAATAATCAATGGCAGATTTCCTGATAAGAAATCTATGTGGTGAATACACAATGAAGAAAATTAATAACGCTGCCATTTGCCACGGAGCAACACGTTCCACTCGGTAGCACCGGGTTAGCTTTAATTAACCCTTTGCCACGCATGTCGTCAGCAATTACGGCGAAATTCCTTGGCATCCTGGACGAAGGATATAAGTAAACAAAATTTTCCATGTAACAATTCATCTACATTTATGCAATGTTTAATTCAATTTCAAAAATTATATAAAAATTCTGATAGCGTAAAAAAGATTAACTCAAGTTATCTAATACACACTCCAATTAAAATGATAGAAAAAGTCTGAAGGATATAAGTAAACAGAATTTTCCACGTAACAACTCATCTACATTTATGCGACGTTCAATTTCAATTTCAAAAATTATATTATAAAAATTCCGGTAATGTAAAAGAGATTATCTCAAGTTATCTAATACACACTCCAATTAAAATGATAGAAAAAGTTTGTTAGAAAAATTTTTTCAAATTCATTTAAACATTGTCAATTAGTATAATTAAAAATATTGCATCCATTGCACTATCTCTATGATATAAATCCAATAATGATAAAAAGACTGCAATGAAAAGAAAACCGCGAAAATTGCTTCGTCTGCACGTAGTAGCTTGAGAGATGCGACAGTAGAAAATAAAATTATGTAAAACGACTTTAGCGATCATGTACGAGTACCGAATAATTCGCCGAAGCATGCAGTTTCACTAAAACTATGAATGAGAAGTAAACAGGCACGCTACATCATTATCTATCACAGGTGCGCTTATGTAATTACGAAATTTACGTAACTCAAAAATACCGAGAATTGTATCGTATGTGATTTCAACGCTAGTAGCTTTGAAAAAAAAGAAAGAAAAATCATGGCTGATTCGCGATTGTGTCGTCGCTATACGAAGTGTTTTCGCTCGATAAACAACATACACACGTACTTGCGCATTCGGCGAAGAATGATCTTCCGACGCTCTCACTAAGGGCTCTTTAGCGACCTTACTGCCATCGCTGTAAGACCTGTAGGGACTGGAGGCTGATAGCGGCACCGTTATCATCTTGACTTCTGCTCCTTCGCGCAATAAACTTCTACAGCGTTATTCTACCGGTTTCATGTAGAATAAATTTGCACACCTTATTACACTTGGTTATCTGATTACCTGTTTGTTTAACAAGCAAAGCAACACGATCATCAGTTGGTCGTCAAAACGTCATTGACCGGAATTGAAAACAAATCGTTTTATTTATTTTTTTTGAACTAACAACTTTTTTCTATTATTGAATATTACTGATTGTGGTGCGCTAAAAATCTTTATGTCAAAAATCTATCTTTGCAGGCCTCAATGTCAATTGCCTCTGATAGTTGAGAGTATTTTTCAGAAGCGAAGTAGTATGATGAAAAGAAAGTATCACGAAGAATACAAGTAGAAACGGTCTTGTGAATGCGTTAATTGATCTGTGCGAATATACGTAAATGTACAGTGGCGAAAATAATAAAATTTTAATGAAACTATTCGAAAACTTTCAAAATTTTGCAAATTACCGACACGTTCTTTTAGCGTGACAGAATTAAACTTAAAGGCAAAGTATTTGAACGCAAAGTAACGCGATCTGTCATTGCAATTATTTTTAGCTTATAAATACTACAATAATAAAATTGTGATAATGTCAATGTCAATAATAAGATTTGTCATTGTCAAAAATCTGAGTTAAACCTATGATAAAAAATCTAAACTATACATCACTGTTATATTATGTAGCGATACAACCGCGGTTAAATTCCGCGGAAATTTCGTCGCGATCTTAGAGATGATCTTGTTTTCCCGCGGCACTAGCAAAGCTTGTTTTCACAGTTCGCGTTGCGTCGCTCGTCGTCTTCGCTGACGGCCGAGCAAACATAGACTGACGTATTAGAGCAGGCGACGCGACGCCACGAGACGAATAAACCACTCGACTAGTGATTGCGCGCGCTGTCAGGTAATGCACGGTCCCTGTTTAGCACGCCCAATATTCCTCAAATGTGAAAACAGTGGCGCAGTTATTACGGCATTAGAAGGGGCAGTCGGCAATCGTGATTTTCAGAGCAGGTTACTCGTCTTCCATATTGCGAGATTTCGTACAAAATTATTTTTGTGGAAATTATTTCTTGCAAATGAGCGAAAATCAAGTAGAAAAACAAGTTTCATCCTAAACTTCATCTAATGTGTCAATTTAATATTAATTAAAGAATTTTTATTATTTGAATGGATTTAATTATTTTGAAGATCCTAAAAATATAACTTGTTCATTATTATCACGTATGAATTCTTAGAAAAACTACGTAAAAGATTATTAATTTACAAAGTATTATTCTGAAAACGACTTTTTCATGAAAAATCGTTGATGTTGCGGTAAATTTTAAAGAATTACACTGTAATATAAAATTAAAACATTTTATAATTAAAAAAAAATTATAATAATACTGAAATAAAGACAAAAAAAATTCTATGGGAGATATTAATTTCTTGTCGTATTTACAGTACACGATTCTAGATACGTGCCTGTCTTAACACGGCAGATCTCTATGTGTTATCATACGTTCTCGCCATTTATGCAGCAACTCGTCGCAATTTACATATTCGTATTATCGCGAGTATATACGATATGTCTTTCGTAAACGGAGATGAAGCGGCGAGACGATAGCGTTACGTTTGGTGTCAGTGATGCATAATCAGTTTGTTCCACCAAGCGACTGGTATATATGTATACATAGATACGGAATGGAGCGATTTCTGTTGGGAATAAGAAATAAGAATATCAATACGTGTGTGCCAGTGAACCATGAAAGGTCCTTTCGTTTCTTTTTCTTGTAATTGCGTAAGCCGCACTTCTATGTATACGTTACTGTTGCGCTCGTGAAGGACATGTAGAGCGTCATTTTTAATCGTTTATGCAGCCGACGCGCGTGACATTGAAAAGTGTAATAAACAAAATGTGCAAAAATCACATACGAAATATTTTGAGATTATAAATAAAAGTCTGAAAAAAGCTTTTCAAGGCTCTCCTCCCTGCATCAAGATCGTTTCGACTGATTGTACCGTAATAATTAATACTGTTTCATTTAACCCGTCTCATTTGAACATCCGTAAATAACACCTGAGTGCGAATTCGCACCAAGCGTTTTTAAAGTTTTATATCTTCTGAAAATAAAAAGCAAAATTAAAGCAAAACGTGTGTTTTCCAATATAAATTTTCTGACCAATCAATTGGTAATATTAAATTTTCAAAAAAAAAAAAAAAGTAATCGTTTTCAAAACTGCGTGTTAAATAAAACCACTTCTGGAAAAACTACTTTTTTCAATAAATAACTCATTTTTTTTATTTTTAATAAAATGACACAAATCTTACTGAATTTTATTAATAAAATGTTGTATTTTAAATAAAAAATAGTTTTAATTAAATAAAATATAAATAAATATTTTTCCTGGTAGTAGATAGTTTGGGTTTTTTGGAAGTAAAAAAATAATTAAAACACGGTTATAAATGCATAAACGCATATGCATAAATGCATAAAATTATTTTATTAATATGTGAGGTTTAAAAATAACGTTTATATTATTTACATAATTATGTTTATAATTTACATAAAATTTTGAAGAATAACTATTTTTATCACTTATATACGATAAATAAGTAATCTTGATTGAAAAATACTTACATTTTATATAATGAAGCTTCTAGATCGATCAGATAAATAATTTCACTTTTCTCATACTCCCCGATTTCACACACGTATGTGACATGTAGGTGCGAATTCACATCCAAACGAATTTTCAATGTGCCTCAAGCAAAGACTAAGTCCCGAAACATAACAAGTGTTGTAAGCCGTAAGGAATAGACCAATCGCCATTGAATTTGAAGAGAATAATGGATTATAATTGGTCAATTTCTTATGGTTTAAGACTTATTACATCTATCGTGTTTCGGGACTAAGGCGCAAATGATCATGATCATGATCGGGATCTTTCTACTTCAAACAATAGAGTACAAACATAATTCACGTAGTGGGAGAAGATCGCCAAATTCATCTGTTCTCAAATGCCCACAAGTTGAAAATTTTGCGAGTGCGAATTCGCACCCAGGTGACCTTTACGGGTTAATAATGAATATCAGAGATTATACTCAATATTCACGTGTCACAAGATATACATGCATTTTGCATAACATAAGTAACTATAAATTGCGTTTCTTTATGCTGGCCATCGTGCGTTCAGCACAAGATTGGTCGGGATAAAAAAAGACGGGATTGCTAGAGGATTAACGTTAATAGCTTTAGAAAAAGCGTATATGAATTGAATACTGGAAAAATCCCAGCAGTGTAATCTCGCTTGATTCGATATGCGTCATCCGCAAAAACCAAGTATAAATACCGATAATAACAATAGAAAAGATACATGTGTGATACCGAAGCAATCAGTAACATCGACCAGGAATCGATTAACGTTACACTTGTTGGTATATCAGTGGTGCAGGATATTATGTATAGCTAAATGCTGTAGAGATATTATGCGATAATTCGAGATCATCCATTTGCAAAGTATTATTCTGACTCAAGAGAATGCTAAACATCTTTATTATAGTTAAATTAATCTTTAAAAGAAATTACGTAGCATCATCAATCTCACTATTTTATTGACATTAAAAAAAAAATTTTAAATTAAGGAAATACAATAGTAAACGCCATAATAATATGGTTAGCTACTTGTTGATATTAATCACTATATAAATATAAATATAAATATCTACATGTTATTATACATATATACACTATTCCACAAAATTAAAGGAGCACCTATTCTTTCTTCTATTCTGATACTGAGACAGGGTTTCAAGATAAAATAATTTCGCCAAAAAATTTTGCGATTTGTCGCATCTCTATTTGTATCTATGCGACTCCGAAAAAAATCAGTTGGTTGTTTTCCAAAGTATCAATTTAAAAAAATGGAGACTTCAAATGCTTCTTACAAAATCTCATTATAATCATTTTTGACAAAGTTACTTTATCTTGAAATTTGCTTGTTTTTAGAGGATAGAACAGATGATTATTTAATTTTGTGGAGTAGTGTATACAGGGTGTCCCTGTATACACTACTCCACTATAGTATAAGTCGTATAGTATAAGTCCTATAGTATAAGTAGTCACCCCTTTTTATCTTGTAAACTAATAGAGATAGATCTAATAAATGTAATATCAAATTAAACGGCTCTGATTAAACTTTATTGTAAACACAGTGATCATTTAGAAATATTATCTATGTTAGAGAGCGGAAAGACATCTGTCTCTTATACACATCTCTGAGCGGGCTGGCA